GGAAAACGCCCGGGGGGGGGCCGGGGGGCCCCCTGCCACACCAGGACTGTCTGGCCAGGACTGTGACTTGGGCAGGGTGCCTGAGACCAGCGGGTAGACCATGTCAAGGCGGCGGCGGACGCGGCGCTTGCGCTGGGTCTGCCGATTGATCTGTCCCATGGTAGCAAAGTCGATGACGTAGCAGAAGCCAATGGCACTCAGGTCCACCCAGGGGTGCTGCTTCTCATAGGCGCGCTGGATGGTGATGCCCACATCCATGTCATAGGGCGTCCACGACCCGCTGTCATTCTCCCACTCCCACACGACTCCCTTGCCCGGCGCCGACGATGGGTCGTAGTAGCTGCGCCGGACAGGGCGAATAGTGCCTGAGGGAGGGTGAGAGACGCTGTCAGACCCTGGCGCTGGCACCCACCTTTGGGCAGGGAGCAAAACCACCCCAACCCGCCTCATCGGTGCCATCCGGCACAAGGACAGGACAGCTTTCCAGCTCAACTGTTGCCCCTGCCCTGCCAGGGGACTAGTCTGCCTTGGTTTCTCCAGGCCGCTGCCTGCAAGCCACCCTGCCACCAGTGCGCTCAAAGGGCCCAGGCCACACGGCACAGCACTGGGGTGCACCCCAGTGTGACTGTGGTGACAGGAGGGCAGATTTCACCCCATCGGGCTACAGCGGTGGCCACCCTCCAGCCCCAGTGTGCAGCCGCTCAACACTGATGGGGAAACACAGGAACACAAGCTTGGCCACTCCAGCCTGCTCCCAGGGACCTCCCACGGGAGCCTGGTGAGACCAGGCACATAGGCATCGGACTACTGCACTGCCCACCACAGCCCTATCTTCCTCTCAGCTCCGGACCAGGACAGAAGAATAAAATATTTAAGGGGCAGCTCTGAGCCCCGCAGCAGTGACATGCACAGGCACCCATGCGCACAGCAGAGTGGGGCTTGTGCCAGCCCCACCACCTGTAGGTGCCAAACCAACCCATGACAAAAACCTAGCGCATGGCACAGGGAGAATACCAGCAAGGCCAAGCAAAGGAGTTTGAGCGGGGCCCTGTGCCCAGCTCCTGCTCCCTTGTCAGCAAGCGTTAAGAGTGGGATGAGAACACAAAGCACGAAGGCTTTGCGGCTTGCATCCTCATTTTTGCTAGACGTTTCCTTTCCCGCCGCTCTCAGTCAACTAGGACACACTCAAAGCACAGACACAAATTGTGGAAACCCCTGCAA